CAAGTAGAAAATACAGATAGAACAATTCAGAGAAAGACATCACAAAGAATACATCCAGGGTTACGGTGGGATTCGAACCCGCTACCTCGAGATAAAACAAGTTATGGTGCTGGAGAGCTTTAAATTTATGAATTATTTTTAACTATATGTTTTTTTACCTTTAAATCTGTTTTTCTCAAAACATTATTTTTTGTTACTTAGGTACATATATCTCTTGTTCTATACAATTTAAAAAGATAAAACTTGGTAGGCTTATACATCATTGATTGTTTTATACAGTAAACCTCAAATTTAGTTAAAAATTTAAACATTTTGAAATCTGGAGTAAAATTTAATTGCCGAAAATCAGCAAAAATTGGTATTTTGAAACAGTCAATTTTTTATTCTGCAAAAAATTGTGCATTTTAGTCTAATTTTAGGTATACTGTATACTCTAGGCTATATATTGTGTGTATAATTTTTTTCAGACAATTATATTGAGTAGTTGTAGTTTTATATGTACCTTACTGATGACATAATTTGAAAATTTAACAAAAAATTTGCCTATAAATTGTATGAATAAAAATTATTGTCTAACTTAATTTGTATATTTTACTGCAGAAATACATTAAAAAAAACCTAACAAATAAATATTAAAAAATTTAGAAACCTATCATTAAAATTAAATTTTTTGTAGCAGTTATTGCAAAAGTCACTTCACGCCGCATTTTCGTTCAGCGAGATGTTCAATGTCCCCTTAACGATCAGGCCACTGAACTGTTTGCAATTATAAATTTTATTTTGCAGAGTTTTATGACTTTTTTGTCAAATTATATTATCGAACTCACGGTGTTAGCAATAATTATGTTTTTCATAACAAGAATTAACATTTTTATAGCATTTTTCTTAGCAACATAAATTTAATTTAAAATGTAATGGCTGTTTTCGTCATTACATATGAAAATATTTACCCCGACCTGCCCCAATTCAGGGCATACGGGTAAATGTTTATTAAAACCAAGTAAAAACATTAAAGAACATAAAATACATAAAGTGCATAAAATACATAAAATACAAAATTCATATGGCAACAGCCCGTAAACTTTGCAAGCGAGCAATACTGTTGAACAAAATTAGCTATCTACAATTAGTCAGAATATTATATCTTTAAGAAAACATGACAAATATATCTGGCATGTATGTTATGAAAAGTCCAGGTCAACGGACCCTAAAATATGGATTAAAAGCACAATTAAATTTAAAACACCAGCAATATTAGAAGCAAATGAAATATAAATTGAATGGCATAATCAAATGGCATAAAATTTAAAAACTATTCGTCATTACATATAAATAAATTAAACATTCATGTACACATGTGATAATTAGTGACGGTGTGTTTAATATCCCGCGAAATCAAAAAAAGATCTATAATTGTAATTCAGTTGTCATTTCACGAATATTTGGGGAATATAATTTCTGATGAAAATTTTCTATGTCGGGTGATTTTAATTTCAATTTTTGTGTCAGTACCATTAGTAAAGACATCTCATATTAAGTGTAAAGTTCGGCAGATATGTACTATTGTTTCATACATTTAGGAAAATGTTCGAGTTATAACCCTAAACAGGTAGACGGAATTTGATAATAATATGGGATTTTATAACTACTATTCAAAAGAAAATTAAATACGACTTCACCATGAAAACAATATACCGCTGCTTCCTTATTTGATCAGCATTTAATTTTGTTTTCTTTTTTATCCTTTACTTTTTCTTCTATATGTTCTACTTCTTTTTATTCTTCCTCTTCATATTCTTCTACTTCTACTCATTCTCTTCTTCTACTACTACAACTCATTCTCTTCTTAATTCTACTTCAACTCATTTCATTTTCCTACTTCTAAACTCATTCTCTTCTACTTATTCTCTCTCTGTCTTCTTCTCTTTTTCTCTCTTAACTTCTACTTTTTCTTCCACATCACATCATGTTCTTCTTCTCCTACATCTTCTTATACTTATTCATATTCCAAATACACGAAAAATATTTTTTAAGCTGGAAGAAGGTAATATACTGCATTTTTTACCATTGTTTTTTTTTTTTTTTTTTTTTTTTTTTTTTTTTTTTTTTTTTTTTTTTTTTTTTTTTTNGAGCTGGAAGAGAAACATCCATTTTATAAATTATTTGTCCCCCAGAGAGACATCAAGCAAGACAATTTTGAAATAAACTATCTAATGGAACGAGTGGTGGATAGCAAACGAACCGTCATTTTGCTCACTAAGTAAGTGTCATTCTCTTAACTATTTTTAGCCTAAATTCAATCGATATAATAGCAGTTTAACACAGTGAGATCAGCTGTCCATGTGGTTGCTGGATAAGCAGTAAGAGCACTTTGCTGGAGTAAATTAAAATAATTGGAAATAATAAGAAGCAGCTTGCTCAAAAACTTTAGTTTGCTGGCTGTAGATAAGGATGAGGTTCATGCACTTGGCTGAAGGATATAATGTAGGAAAAGCCATGACACACTTAGCTTAAAGTCTTTTATTACCATTTTTTCTTATTTAGGGATTGGTCATTTCAAATCCAATTTCATTAAATACCGACTATAAGAGAAGGGTATGATATTTTTAATGCCAAACGAACATTTGGCATAAAAAAAAGGGAATGTCACCAATATTTGGCATAGGTAAAAAAAGATGTACGTAACACATTGATTGTGAATAATGCTGCTTTTAAGTATAATATTGCGTAAACCAGTGTTTCCCAAAGTGTGGTACGCGTAACCCCAGGGGTACGGGAACAGTTTAGCGGAGTAAGCCTCCACACGGTCTTTTATAAGTAATCCGCGCAGACTATTTAAAAAGTGAACCAGTTGTGCGCATGAACCCAAAACCTTTTATAAAAGTAATTGAGAGAAATTTACCATATATATTTGAGAATTGAATCTGTAGTGGTGGACAAGTGAATAAGGCAAACCAATAATATTCATAAATAAAACAAATTTTTAGTCATATATTTGCTACCACTTTCATATTTTAACTAGATTTTGTATTAAATGAGTCGTTCACAGTGGGCTCGGACTACCTATAAAAAACAGTGTGGAGGCTTTCAGTATAAGGAGGTGTTGGTTACGCGTTCATATGCGAAATATCTTGCAAGAAACGAAAATTTCAAAACATTTTATTTAAAAACAAAGCTAGCCATGAAAATTTACGATTACGCAATTTTGTATTGGCTATTTTTTGCAGAGTTAGCAGTAAATAATTAGTGGTGTCAGCAGCCAGTTGTGATTTTTAAATTTTGTGCCTTTTTTATAGTAAAAAATACATTCATTTTCTTATTAGTGGTACATAGCGTTACGAAAAATTTAGAAAGGGTACACAAAAATCATAGGTTTATGAAACACTGGCGTAAACCACAGTTTTGTGAAGTAAAAGTGACTCCAAATTTAAAAATAAATAAAAAGTGGTAGCAAGATTTCTTCTAAGTTAATCCTAGCGTCAAACTACCGAAGAGCGCTCTGAAGTAAATTTCACCCCAGATTAATAATATAATTAAAAAGTGGTAGCAAGATTTCTTCTCTCAAAGAAAAGCTGGATAAAAAAGCACATCACTCCTTTTTTTCTCTACTCTTAGTATTCAAAAAGAGCGGAGCAATTCGCCTTTACAATTAACATAACATTCTATTTCCAAAATAATTCTTTGTTTTTACATTCATTTAAATCATACGAATTATAAAAAAAAACTTGAGGTTAACAATTTGTTTTTTCTTGAGAGTAATATGCCGTTAAAGACAAAAATTAAACTTATCTCAGTTGCTCTTACGTTCGACGAACTACTAAAAACGATTCAAATTGGTAGCATAATTACTTCATCACAACTTTTAATTTCCAAATTAGGTAACTAATACATTAGGTGGTTATGATGATAGATTATTAACACGTTCACGCCTGGGTGACCCACCAGTGGGTCACGCTAGATTGTCTCATCTTGGCAGCGCACCGGAGTAAAAACTGGTAACAAATAAATTTCATATTTTAGTTTTATTCCGGGAATAATAAAAATCCATAACTACCAATTGTTTTTAACGGATGCAATTTTTATATTGAATTGCTTCTTCGCCGTGATAAATTTCTTTGCAGTGAATTGTTATTCTTGAGAATAGATTAACTCCTCCCGAATATTATCTAATATTGAAATAGTTCTTCTACCAGTGTTTTCTCCTTTCCGTCCCGCTTTCAGGCGCAACACCCGGCGTGAACGTGTTTAAAAATAAGCTCCTGAAGCGGATCACTAATTATCTGTTTATTAATCTTTAAATATTAAGTGGTAATATTAAAAAAAAACTCAATAAATGCATTATATACTACCGTTCCTCTCATGTATTACTTTCTACATCATCACAATGGAAAAAAATCCGGAATTGAAACTCCTTTACAAGTAAATAAATACATTTATAATTTCATGCTATTTAGAACCGAAGTCAAGCATCACTGGCTACGGTCAGTGTGCGGGTGGGTGACCCCTTGGATCAGTCTGCGTAGGGACCGAGGGTGTGCGGTATTGGTCCTCGTTAAACTGTACTACCGTAAAGTGCTCGACTTCGCGCGCAGGTCGTCGGGCTACCGAAGCGGGGGTGCCATCCCCTCCGCAGAGGATCAAAATTGTGATGGCATGTCTCCGGATCATCCTCCGGGATGTTTCCCAGACCGTCGCCAATAGCCCATTGTGCAGCTCTAGTGCGACGTAAATTAACAACAACAACAACAATAGAACCGAAGATGTCTGGATCTTCTCTGTTTATAAAGGGCCATATCATTTTACGTTTATAACCAATGACAATTTTTGAAGCGGTTAGACGAAACTATACTTTTTAGGATTTATAAAGAAAATTAAAAATCTTCGAATCACAAAACCAATAAATATTTTTTTTCTAAATTGGAGGAGAATACAGAAGAATACCTGTAGCGTATCTACCACTATAATTATTTAATTCCAATTCACCTTGTCGGTAGCCAAGCCCTACATTGATAGATGGAACACAGTGAACAGTTGCCTTGCTATTTGTGACTTCGACGTAGTCATCACGCTGTTTCTACTCAGTCTTAATCACACGAAACGTGGGCCCGTAATCACTCGACTGAAAATCAAAACATGGAAGAGATTATGTGGACAACCGTCAGCTTAACACGGCCCTCACCACCAGCGCTCAAAGTCCGGAGCTCTTACCGCAGCTCTTAATGCACGAAACAGCAATGAATCAACTAGTGATGTTCATTCATCGAATTCTATCCTAGATAAAATTCTAGTGGGGGAGTATTGTAGAGTAACTACCTCTATATTTGATGAATTCAAATTCACTACTATATAACAAATGTTTACTAGATTTCATATATTTCGAACTGTTCAGCATTAAACCTAATGTCTGATTCTATTCTCGGATAGGCACTATCTGATAAACGAGTTCTGCATGGAGATATTAAGAATGGCATTTGCGAATTCATTGGAGATGAAATTGCATCGGATCATCCTTGTGAAAATTGGACCCCTTCCTCCCATCAAAGAGATGGATCAGAGTCTAAAGATAGTAATGGAATCCTCAAGGTGTCTCAAGTTCGGAACGAGGTTATTCTGGGAAATGTTGCGATACGAAATGCCTGAAAAAAGTCCGAATATTGATGATTATGAACTGCTAGATGACCAACCTGATGATGTGCCTTTGATACAAGAACTCTAGATATGTCGTGAAATTTTAATTTTATAAATTTAACCTTTGATGGATCTATATTTTTTATTTTATAACTATAATAAGTAGTTTGCAGTTAAAATTAATAGCTTGCAGTAAATTGCTGTTTGTAAGAAACGTAATGTTCAGTAGAAAAAATTAAAAACTATGAAATACGTTTTAAGTTTTTTCAGTTTTGATTATAACTCGGGAAGCTCTCATGAAATACAAGCTATTTAATTCATAGTAGTTAAAGACTCAATCATATTAACTATTCAGAATGTTTAAGGCTATTTTTCCCGTTTTGCAGATAATGATCACTTAAAATAACGTACCTATGAGTCAACATTTCTCACGTGCGAAACAAAAATAACAGTTTTGTCACTGCTATGCAAGAAAACATTGTAAAATACGATCAGAAAAAAAATAAACAACACAAAATACGCTATAATGTTTTTTTTTTTCTCCTACAATTTCGATTGTAAATCGAAAAACTCTCGTGAGATGCATGCTATTTCATTCATGGTAGTTAAAAACACAATCATATTAACTATTTAGAATGTTTAAGCGCAATTTTTCCGTTTTGTTGAAAATGATCACGCAAAATAACATCTATGAGTCAACATTTCTCACACGTAACAAAAATAACAGTTTTGTTACTATTATACAAGAAAACATTGTAACATATAGTTAGAAATTTGATTGCATCTCGAGAATTTAACATAAGATGCATGCTTTTAAATTCATGGTAGTTAAAGATACAATCATATTAACTTCGGACTCCGGTCAATCCTCAGCTCCACTAAGACTCACACAGTACATGCGATATACGTCCTCGTAAAATGTGTGGAACCGGAAGTCCGGACTCCGGTCAATCCTCAGCTCCACTGAGACTCACACAGTACATGCGATATACGTCCTCGTAAAATCTGTGGAACCGGAAGTCTGGACTCCGGTCAATCCTCAGCTCCACTGAGACTCACACAGTACATGCGATATACGTCTTCGTAAAATCTGTGGAACCGGAAGTCCGGACTCCGGTCAATCCTCAGCTCCTCTGAGACTCACACAGTACATGCGATATACGTCCTCGTAAAATCTGTGGAACCGAAAGTCCTGTGGTCATTCTCTAAGCAGTACCATGAATACAGGGATCAGGAAAAAATTTCTTTCCCCTACAGATCTATGTATAATTTGAGTGGCCTCACGAATTACGATAGCATGTCTTCAGATCATCCTCAGGGATGTCTCCTAGACCGTCGACAATAGCTCATTGTGCAGCTCTAGAGCGACGTAAATTAAGTGTCTACCTACCTATGTTCAAGTATCACAAGCAAATTCAGCGTCAAGAGTTTCACAAAGTATGATGACGAAGTATGGTCGCAGAATTCGTATTATAAAATGTGAATGAAACCACGTTATTCTTACAATGATATTTTCGCTTTTAAAGCGTGTTTATATAAACTTAAATGATGAAAAGAGAACTAATAAAATAAACTTAAAGTTTTCAACTAAGCAATTGGAAAATTGTATTAAATTCTGAACATCACGTTTTAAATAGTTATAGAAAGAAATTAAAATTATTTTAGTTTATTTAATTCTGTTGGGATATGTTTTTCAGTATTGCGCATGATTTTTATTGTGTTGTGTAGTTATTTACTTTCTCGCTATTTTTCATCCCGTACGAAGAACGGGTATTCAGCTAGTTAATAACAAAAAGAAAGTCATTTAATAAATTATTTTATGAATAAAGTATAGTTTAATAAGAACCTCGAGTGAAAGTTATGAGGTTTGCACATACAATTTAAGAAAAATAATAATCTGCAAAAAAAAAAATTTTTATACTCCTCGACAGGTGTTTGCAAATTATATCATGTGAACCAAAACCATAGTAACTGGATTTACATGTTAAGCATCTGGTATAATATAATGTATTTTATAACATTTTAAAATTTAAAGCATCAGTAAATCTTTCAAAATAATAATCAGGAAAATCGCAATAATTGGGGATCAGAATGAAATGTACGATTTTAATTGTAATTAATGATATGAAATGTGTCCAAAAATTATTCCCGAAAAACGAAATAACTTTTACTGATTTATTCCTAAATCCAGCTCTGTAGGCACCGCCCTTGTTGACTAGTTTCAGAAACACATATTATCGCGCATTTCAAAACTCTTGTACGTTTGTCTGTGACGAGCTAGATAAAGATTAAACGCCTTAGAATACCCATAATGCCTCACAAAAGGAGAGGCTTGAGGATAAAAATTGTTTTGAAATGACTTAAAATCAGGACCGCGGAAACGAAAACGGAAAAAAAAATTTGAAGAAGTTTGGAAAATTTGTTGTTATTGTTGTAGTTTATTTATGTCATTATACAGTAGCACAGATGGGCTATTGGCGACGGTCTGAGAAACATCCCTGAGGGTGATACGAACAAATGCCATCACAATTTTGATCCTCTGAAGTGGGGAGGGAGAGCTTCCCCACTTCAGTAGCCCGACAACCTACGCACGAAGTCAAGCACTTAACGGTAGAATAGTTTAGAGAGTATACGAATAACACACCCCCTCGTTCCATGGCAAGCTGATGAAAGTAGTCGACCACCCGCTCACTGACAGCAGACAGTGATGAGGAAAAATTTACTCACCTCTTACTCCGGTTTGTTAAAAGCTAGAGCATGTACAGTGAGCCAAATAAACGGACCAAATTGAATAACTTTTGATCTAATAATAGGATCTTTAAGCTCTGGAACTTTATCTTAATAATTTGAGGGGGTAAGATCAAATATGCTAATTAATTAGTGTAGACGATATTTAAAGTTACGAATTCAGCCACATAAACGTTTTTTCTCTGAATAAACAAACATTTTTATCAACAGATTCGGATTTCTGGCTCCCAAAATTTAGAGCATAGCCGCAATCTGAAAAATTCGTTCCCGCAGACAAAAAAGATAAATTTTAGTAAATATTTATTATTGCTTATTATTTTATTTAATAACAGTTGAAAAAAATTTGAATTAAAAGGTATACATTTTGTTATGTCATTTTAAAGTATGTAATTCTACATCGCAAAATACAAAATTTGAGCGAAATCGGTTGAATAGTACTTGAAAAATCAAGGTTTAACTATAAGACTTTTTTCTAAATGTAAAGATTCGATGATTAGATTAAAAGTTATTCAGGGTGGTCCATTTTTTTCGCACTGTACCGACACCTCCTATAACTGTTGTTGTTGTTGTTCATTTACGTCGCACTGGAGCTGCACAATGGGCTATTGGCGACTGTCTGGGGAACATCCCTGAGGATGATCCGAAGACATGCCATCACAATTTTGATCCTCTGCAGAGGGAATGGCACCCCCGCTGCTATCCCACTCCTATAACTAAGAGCCTCCACACGGTTTTTTGTAAGAAGTCCGATCAGACCACTATGAAGGTAACCAATTAGTGAAAAAACCATTTAATATGAAATCTATTAAAAAATTAGAAAGTGATAGCGACTGTCTGTTGGTAGCGATATGTCTAAAAAAAAATTTCATTCAAGAATATAATTGATTTGTTTTATTTACTTGTCAACCACTATAGATTCAATTCTCAAATATATATAATAAATTTCTCTCAAGTACTTTTAAAATAGAATTTGGGTTTACGCGCACAATTGGTTCGCTTTTTAAATAATCTGCGCAGACTACTTATAAAGAACCGTGTGGAGGCTTTCTAATGTAGGAGGTGATGACTGTACACTGTAAAAAATTTTCGTGACGAACTCCTAACATCAGTGACAACAAGTGATGTTCCATTACACCAAAACCCAGGGAGAATTTCAAATTCTGTGAAACACCTAGAAAGCACTTTTACACAACTTGGTGTAAATTAGCCGTCATCAACCACTATTTTTGTTACTCACTAAAATTTATAATTACTGTAAGATATGATACACATATGAGTCAGTACATTTATTTTTACTGGATAATAAAAAGTAAGAATGTGTAATTTCAGTTGCATGCATAAACTAATTCTAAAAAAAATATGAGTTTGTAAATGAGACAAATCCGTATCAGAGAGAAGATTAAGAATTCGAATTAGGCTTAACAGACTAGGGGTAGATAGAATTATACGTCATAAATTATTTAAAACTGTTTGCAGAGAGCTGAAATTTAAATATAAATATCCATATCCCAGAACTAAAAACATACATACATATCTTTAACGGCAAACTTTAATTTCTACTGATGAAAAGCAACATTTGAGAAGGCGCAAACATTCGCCCCAACTCATTATAGTGAGAATTGGATACGTGCACTTTAAGAAAAAAAAGCTCAGTAATACCCACATATGTGACCAATGACGTCAGGGCCAAGTGTTCGCTTATAAGCAAAACGGCGCGTTAAAGTTTAACTCTGTTTCTTCACAAAAGTTAGAATGTTAATTGACTTGATGTTAATTAAATACAGTGCCGTATCACACATCGTTTTTGTTGAACTACAATTTTTCCTCGTCTACGTCTTTTACTTTACTTAGATTTATTATTTGTGTTGTTATGGGTTTACAACTACTAATGTTCAACTACGTAACCATGTAATTTTGAACCCAATCCAGAGGACAAGGGAACTCCTGGATCAAGTATTGGTAGAAATTTGCATTCGTGGATGATTTTTTGATTGAACTAATCGCATTTGCGTTAACTGGAGAGGAAGACCACGAGACCCTCCCACGGTTAGCCTAACTCAGGGGAACTCTAACCCGTGATCCTTCTACCACTGAGGATATTTCACGTCAGCGCTGTGGTCGGTGCAAGCCGGATGCAGATTCGTATCTGCCAGATATCGCTGGGATTCGAGCCCGGCTCACCTCATAGGAAGACGAACGCTTTATCCCCTGAGCCATTGCGGTTCAATAGAATATTTTGTAACCAGTCATATTCTAATACCAAAAAAAAATACTCTCTCTGTATCAAGCTATTCTTAACTATTTAGTTTTTGCTCTTAACTTGTATAATTAGTTTTGCTGGTCGGTTTTCGAAATCATTGATTCAAATTTTTTATGCACATTTTTAGTTTATAAATATTTTATACACATATACACATTCCCTTAAAACATATGTATAAAATATTTTTTATCCCTCACGGTTTTTAATGTGCATTATTTTATTTGTTTTGGGATTTGATTTCTTTAAAAGCACAAATCTAAAATATTAAAGAAAAATGACAGAATTTTTTTTTTTAATTTGTTGATTATCTTACAGCAAATACGTTCAAATCTTATTTAAACCTCACAACTGTTCTATGTATACTGATAATTTGCTTTATTTCTATTAATCTGGAGAAAAGAATTGGACAGTTAATCTCTAACTGACATTCTCAATACCTATCATGATCACTTTAAGAACTTTCTTCTAACAGAAAGTTTATCCGTTAAATATTATCTCCCTTTTTGATATACTTTATCAGGAATAAAAAAAATCTAAATAATTTTACATACGTTACTTATAAGTTCAGTTTATCAAAATTATGGTGTTATTATTTCGGATTGATCTGCAGTTAAATGGTTATTCTTTTGTATCGAAATTTATAATTCGACATAACTTATGGTGGAGTGATTTTTAAATGTGTGAATAGTATTGCGCATATCTTTTCATTTACCATGTTTAAAATGAAAATAGTTTTAGTGATTTTAACAGCACTGCTTAATATTTCTATGGCAGTTAAAACAAATCATAATTTGTGTCCATTCCAGTTATTGTGTTCATGTATTAATGTTAATGGAACAAAAACAGTAACAGTTACTTGCCAAGGTATGCGAAATTTAATGAGTGTTAAAAATGTGGTGAAACATTTAAAATCAAAACCGATCAAACTATTAAAAGTGAAACGATGTGCAGAAAAAAATTTAGCTTTTCCAGTATTTAATAATCTAACGATATTTGAAATCAGAATAAACTGCCCACTTCGAACTATAGCGGACAAGGCTTTCGTGGAAACTCATTCTTTAACGAGGTTGAAGATTTCTTCAAGTTCACTTCAGAAAATTCCTGCCGCCATTAATCAAGTCAAGGCTTTGAAAACTCTTGCTATTGTGGGCGGCCCATTAACAAGAATCGGAGGCCGACTACAGAACATGACTGAACTTGAAAAACTCTCTTTGAAACATAACAGGATAAAGGAAATAACTGCCCATACCTTTTCGGGTGATAAAAAACTACAATCAATAATACTAGCAAGAAACAAGTTGAGAAGTATAGCACCTGGAACATTTGATCCTTGCCCGAATTTAAATCTGGTTGATTTGGAAGACAACTACCTTCAAACAGTTGATGGCTTATTTAATAATCCAAACTTGAAGGTAAATGTGTCAAATTTATTTCGATTTTTACGTTTTTTCTCTCTTTATAAATATTTACTTTTAAAACAATAAATGAGAAATGGGCTGTAAAAAAATGAGAAATATCAGAAATATGTCACAAACGTTAATAAGTCTCGTGCTATTTTGTTTTGTTTTATTAGTTTAATTTACATGCATGCAGCTTATTACATCATGCATTACTTTTGGTATATATTGTTAGAATCCTTGTCAAAAGGAAAACTTGCCAAATGAAATACTATGGTTTTTATCAAATTAAATGCTGATTAGAGATCGCTAAGTGATATTTATAAACGAAAAAAAATATACAAAAACGCTTCCCGAATATGACTAATTACTATTGAGGGAGGTCGGGGTACAAAATATCTGTTTGCCTGTTGAGATAATTCTAATAATTCTTTTTAATTACTTCCTGTTTCAAACGTTAATCAAACAGTTGTTGTTGTTGTTATTTTTAACCCTTTCGAGCCGACTGTCACAAATACGTTCCAGCAGAAAACCGTATCAATCAGGGTAAAAAGATAAAACTGGTAATGAAAGTATTTCTTTAGCAGTTTATTTCTGGGTGGGGTTATAATTGTTTGATTTATTTAATTCACCATTACTTTTTTCAAAATAAAACTATTTTGTTATACTTTGAATTAACTTTGATTACATATATGAATAAACTAACAGTAATTAAAGTAAAAGCAAAGTAAGTCTGTCAAATTAGCAACGACTACATTTAAGTTACCGTTTTTTATTTAATTACATCCTGATTCTGATTTTGTACGAATGCTTTTTTGAATCACCCGTCCCCAAGGGGATAATCTTTTCTATACTTCGCTTGCCTTGAAAAGAATTTGTCAGAGCTTGGTACCATTCCTGTTTTTTCTTGACTTAAATATTATTTTGAGTGACATTTTCAGAGGTATTTATTAATCAGGAAAAATCCCAAACTGCCAACTACTGCGCTTTTTACAAAGTATTTTAAAAAATGCTAAAACAGCGGATCCCAAAAGGTGTTCCGCGGAACCATAAGATTCCAAGGAAAAATGACAGAAGTTCCGAGAGTTTGAATATTTTTAACCTTATTTAGATATTTTTAATATTTATGTCCAATCAATTATTTAATATATATATTAATAACAATATATTGCATAAGTTATGAAAAGATTAGGCATTTGTAAGAAATTTCTGAAATATTTCTCATCGCGTTTTTCAATTCAAAATAAAATGACTAAATTCAAGAATAAAAAATTTTATTTTTCTGAAAACTACTCTCTTAGTTTATAACAGCAATTTTTTAAAAACCATAATTCGGCTTATATTATTCATTTTCAGCATAGGCATGCACCAAGAAAAAATTCATAATATTAAGCATTTCCTTGTACACCTCAAGTAGTTTCAAAATAATTAAATCTTTTTATTTCTTTTTTTGGGGGGGACCACAAAATTAAAACAATCATTTACTACGAATGTAGACTATCTCTTTTAAAGCTTTGGCATATAATTCAAGATGCTTTCCTCTACGTAAAACTGCAGCTTTGTGAGCAGAAAAATGTGGTAGATTATAGATTTTGATAAATTTAGAGACAAAAAAATGTAGCTTATTTTTATTATTATTATTAATAATAATAATATTTGAAATATATATATATAAGTGAACTTGATTATTTAACTTCTTTTAACTAAATTTTATAGTTAAAATAAATATAATTTATAATTTTAAAATGGTGAAAATATATTTAGTTTCATATGGAATTAGTACAACAAGGCAACCATAATGTTAAACAAAAAACTAATAATATATTATTTTTTTAATGAATCAACCAATTGTTGTAATATTGCACAATTCATTTTATTTTATTTTATTTTATAACCGTCGTTGAACAGCCGACCCAATTTCATGGGTTTACGACTACTAACGTTCAACTCCGTAGCCTTGTAATTTTGAACCAATCCAGAAGACAAGGAAACTCCTGGATCAGTACCCCCAG